GATTCCGGGGGGGGGGGGCAAAAGGGGATTCCGCTCCGCTCCACCCTCCTCTACGGAGACGACCTTAACGCGATACAATTGCCCCTAAAACCAGGCATTTATACCAATATTTAGCTAATGAAACATAAAATGCCTGCATACCGTTAACTGTTCCACTCGAATCCAATGATCCCCTCCCTCCGTAATTGCTAATAGTACATCGCCCAATCGCTCTCCCCGTAACAACCTCCAAAAACTTCTCTGCAATAATTGCTTCAACTCGCTGCGACGGGCGAGAATAATCAAACCATAAACGACTCCGGATTCCGCAGTCGATATGAGTCTGTTTCACTATTAATTTATTTTAACACACACCATCCTTTTCTCTCTCACATACAGAATGAGAGAAGAGTAGCTAGCTAACCAAGACCAGCTTAATAAATTTCTTTCTATTTTTCTCTCAAACTCAACAACCTATTCACATCCATAACCGCAATCCTAGCCCCCTTATGGCTAGCAGTAACCAACACTCTCATACCCCGTCCGATACCTAAACATCTCATTCACCACCGCCCACCTACTACCACATCCCATGACTAAACCGTGGTAATATTCCCCGGCTTATCAGGCCACACCCACGTCTTCCCCACCCCTCCCCGCTCCGGCGCCAGCTGCAGCCGCGGAATACTCATGAGAACAAAATACCGTGCTTATTTGCGCATATAGCTAATCCAGGGCTGAGAGGATGCAATCTACGGAGTCTGGGTTTGTGTGGTTGGGTATTTCCATGTAAGATAAGAAGCTGTTGTTGGCGAGGTTGTTGGTGTAGATCCATGATGAGTAAACGGTTTGGTTGGAGGGGGTCGTAGTGGGGTCGTAGTGGGGGTCGTCGTGGTGGTGCGCGCTGTCTGCGAAGTAGGTGGGGATTTGGTATTCGAGGTATGAGGGGACGAGGATGTCGAGGAGGTAGAGGGGGTTATTTTTTGGGAACAGACTGCGCCGCTTGACGGTGTAGTTGTAGATTTTTATGTCGTCGTTTTGTGGGGCAATTTTAATATGGGTGGGGGATGGGCAGAGGGAGAGAGGTGATATTGTGCAGCCAGTTGTAGCCGCCGGTTGGGCTATTGTTGCTCTGTTTTTCAGGATGAGCTCACTGTTTAGAGATCATTATTTTTTTTTCTTGTATTCTTCTAGTTTTTGCTGCTAAAGCAATAAAGGGAGAAGCATGTATCTGGCTCTACCATACGCCAGGCGGCAAGGATCCATTGTTGCTGAAAATGTAACTTACTCGCGCACGACCGTAAGACTATCACCGAAGGAGGGTTATAAAATCTTTAGATCCTGCTTGTTGCAGTGAGGGTGAGGGTAAGCCCTAATGCCATCGTAGCTCAAGAGACAAGTAGCCAGGAGAAGACGAAGATGGTGCCTGGTTGCAAATGGGTGCGAAAAGCGCGATGTATTTTATATGTATCATTTTACTTTGATAGATATCCCAAGTGACTTTTACTGAAATTGATCTGCGCAGAGGCATGTACGAGGAAGAGCACTCGCCGACTTAGCTATGGAGGAGCAGCTCCGTGGTCGCCCACCCGGATGGATGTAGCATATACGCGGAACGAGGAGTCGAAATAAGTGTTCCTAGCTCCCAAACATGACAATCAAGCGAAGCCAAATATAATAAAGCGGTAGCCAGTCACCCCACGTCCGAATAGGAGATCGTCATAAACCCATCGCGGAAGCTAGGCAGGCAGGAGAGTAAATGGATGGTTTGTAATAGTTAGATAGCTATGATACCGCCTCATCATACATGATAGTAGTCAATTAAAGTCCCACACCTAAAGAACCAGATCCAAGCACACGGAGAGAGCGTAAAGCAACGGAAATCCAGTGGTTGCAAAGGAGAGGCTAAGTCAGATAAGAAGTTGATGAAAGAAGATCAGGATGTGTGAACAGAAAAAGTAGATCAAAGAAGAACACAGGAGATCCCAGGTGATAAACTAGATATCGTAATAGATAGTAAAAGCAAGTGACAAAGCTGGATGAATACAATGTTCCAGAGACAATCCCTTTGCCACCATCTTCAAGAAAGCGTAAGAGAAGGGTGCTTGTGCATTTACAAATATGATGGAAACCAAGGAATCTTGATAGAAAAGAAAAAGGTCCGTGGTAAAACAGTTTGAAGATGTAAGAGAGAAAACAAAGGTCAGACATGAGAGCCAAAATATCAAAAACTAAACACCCAAGCTATGAATGATATGATGATCATGATGTCGATGAGAAAAATAACAGTCCAAAAAACCAAATAAAAAGTTAAGTAAGCAATAAAAAGCAGACCATGTTGATTTCCTTCTTTTCCTTGCAAGTTAATCAGAACCATGAACACCAAGTGATAAGTTGAAGTGCCAAAACAACAAAGAACAAGTTCGAGATGAGGATTTATTGGGCTTCGTTGACGGATTGCACTGGAGATGATGGATATGTGAGGTATAAAAATATTGCACTTTCTCCCTTGTTGTTCCCCGTTAAAGAACGCCGCCGGGCAGTTGTATGGAATGTGTTTGCCCCGATCGACCAAGCCCCACGCTTGCCATACCCCCACCAGTTCCACCATCGACACCCGCACTGCCAGGCAAAATGCCAATACCGCCCGCCCCAGCTGTACCAGGCGGGCCCTGGTATGCACTCACCATCTGCCCATCGATCAACTGCGCCTGCTTTCTGAGCATAAACATAGGTTTCCGCCCTTCCTTCTCCAACTGCTTGAACAGAATCAACGGTCGCTCGTCCAGACCTAGACACCGCTCCTGATCGCCAAAGACAATATATAACGCATACAGCCGCCAGTCTTCGTTGATGTTGTACTTTTTGAGTGCAGCGGGCAGGACTCGCAGACATGGGTCATCCATGGATACGCGAAAGGATTTGAAGATTTCCACGCTTGGCGCGGAAGCTTCCCCTTGGTTTCGTGAGCTGGTGATGTTGCCTATTGCGGAGTTTGGAGGGTCAGGTCGGTTTGGTGGTGCGGAGGGTGTGGCTGCCACGGATCTGTCGGGCCGTTGTTGGGATTGGGGGTCATCGGGGTGGTCGTGCATTCCGCGGTTTGAGTTGTTTGACGTTTCCCGTGCATATGAGCGTGAGGCAAGTGTTTGCTGCGGGTAGAAACTGCCAGGGGATGTGGGAGAGGGCATACCCTTGGGAGAAGGTTGGCCGCCACTCATCGAAGCTGTTAGATGTGATGAAGCTGCCAAAGCTGCGGCTGACGGGTCTAATGAGTTATCGGTAAGTGTTCTTCCCTCGGGTATGAATTGAGGGATATAAGTTGGAGAATTGTTTTTGGGCGTTGATCCTCCAGCGAATAACTTCTTGGAGAACGTCCTGGTGAGGCTGTTTCCTTGTTTCTCAGGTTGTGCTATAATTTGAGGATTTGTGAGTGTCTGTTCATGGCTATGAAGGTCTGAGTTAATAGTAGTGCCCGTGTATGTTGAATTTGGCTGATAAGGCAGAGGCTGCAATCTGTCTTTGGCGAATTTCACTACTGGCAGCAATTCTTCACGCAGTTTGCGGTAATCATCTGCCAGTTTTCTAAGCTCTGCTTCTGCAGCTATGATCCTTTCATCTCGCAGCCTAATAGATTGAATGATACGGGATATATCATCTTGTGTCGCGGTTTCACCTCCATTACTCTGCTCCGCAGCTGTAGATGGAATCCGTTGTTAGAAACTCCGCCCTTGCTCCTGTAGAGAACGTCAGGGTCGCAGAACATGGGAAACGTACAGAGAGGGATATAATGGTCGGGGTCCAAGGATATTCCTTGCTTGACCTTGGTCTCATAAACACTCTTTAGAATCGTCAGTCGATGGCCCACACTCGATATACCCATCTCCTTCAGCTCTTCGTGTTTTAGGGCTATAAGAGCTTCTCCAACGATTTCATTTTCTACGAAGCAAAACATCACACAACATCATTAGTCAAGACAAGTCCAAAAACTTCTTTCCAACCACCAAGATGTTTTTGATTGCTATCACACATACCTAGAAACGCACCACAATACTGGCTCAGACCTAAGCCTGCAGCAAAATCAGCACATTCCTCCGCTGTCCACTCCGTGATGATAGTTCTTGGCGAACTCCTATCATCTAGTGTATTCCCAAAGGTTGTTGGTGTATGTTCTGCAGAGGGAATCTCTGAATCCGTGGGGGACGCTTCGGAGTCTTCGATACGAGGGGATGCCATAACGCTTCGCTCATACTCATCATCTGCGTCCGAATCTGCATGATATGCCGGTTGGAAAGCCATTTTGGGTCGCAATGGTCGCAATCAAGATCAAGCCTGCCTGACTGGCAGGAATAATAATGAACTTGGTGTGGTGGGAAGAGTTCCGGGGGGCTAATTAAGCCCCACCACCCCTTCAAAGAAGTACGATTGAATATCAAATGGTTTATATGGGTGGGTTTGAAGAGGCCGAGATACACTTCCTACCTAGGCGCAATAATGGAGGGGTATATTTGGATTCTTAGAAATGGACAAAGCGACTGGTTTCGATGGACTCGAGACAAAGACCAGGTGACCAGGGGGAGGAAATGGGGTTACTCTGAAAGTTTTGAGCCAGCCGTAAAAGCTTTGTTAAGAACCGGATGACGAAACAAAGACGCAGCCTGAGGAGGGGAGGAATTCAATCAGAGAAATGTCGAGCTAGAGAGCCGACCAGGGTGGGAGAGCTTAGGGTAAAGGCGGATTATCTAAGATTGAAGGGCGGTTTGGCGAAATGAAGAGAATTTGAGGAAGATGTGCGTCAAACGAAGTGAATTGGAAGGGATATAACGGGGGGCGGGTAGGCGGTATGTGGAGACATCGACAGAACGACTGTGACCCAAAAAGCAAGGTGGGGAGAGGGTAGCGAGGGCGGCAAAGACGATGATTAGCAGTGGGACGGACTGACAGCGAATGAGCGTGATGGCAAGAAGAGATGCGAAAAGGTCAAGGTCCACGTCTATACGGGTTGTCTATTGCCCGCCGTCTGCTATCTGCTCTATGGATGTTGAATGTTGGATGTCGGGCGTCGTTGGTTCGTCGTTTGATATATTACGCAACCTTTGGGAAGACTGACTAAGGACGGCCGAATGAAGGAACCAACGACCCAAGGGCATTGAGCAACTTGAGGGGAAAATCGCTGAGGCAGGAACGCCAAGGCACCAAGCGCAAATCACGTGCAAAAACTTGATCTGGCTTCGATCAGGAAATCAGACCCCTGGCCAAGTTTCCAAATACGGAATAATTGAAATATCACATGACTTGGACTATTCTTTCTTTTTCTTCGCAATGTAGTGCACTAGACCAAAACAGTATTGGTAGCGTTATTCATATACTTTTGGAATCGCTTACGGGACGTGACGCAGCTTCGGTGTCTCACAAACGGGAACGTTTCTATATTCCTCCGTATATTTTCGTACGGAATAGATAGATGTTATTGTTGAACGTTGTTTTGCTGAATGCGGATTCTAAAACTGAGCCTTGAATGGGGATGATCTAAATACTCGGCCCGTGAGCAGCAATGATACCCGCTGGTTTATTTTCCTCGGGTGCCTGAGTCCTAAGTTTCGGCATCCTTTAACATCCATGCCCCTGGTCTATAACTATAATATGGCCTGTGATAAAGAACAATAAGTTGACCCCGGGATCATATTATTGACCGGATCACCGCAAATACGGCATCTCGAATCCGACCCGTCCCGTTGCAGGTCGAAAGGGGTCGAAACCTCTTGATACCCGGCAATTTGAGCCTGAAGATCCAACCCACGTGGCTCAAAGGCTCGGTCATGTTCCGTTTCGCCAGCGGTTGGGTGAACAGCACGTAAAACAACCATCCTGTCTTTTACCCCTCATATTTGGCATCCGGACGTATCTTGGAAGTATCCCTGCTCAAAGTAGCCCGGCGGAACCTTTTTCTTAATTTACGCAAGTGAGCAGGTAGACATAGGGGCAGTTCCAGGCTCGGTAGAAGGGAGGTTTGTATGAAGTAAGTCAACTTCACAGCTTTAGCATTTGGTTCACCGAAGGAGAATGTTGAATGCCGAATTTTGCAAGAGTTGTGGATCCGGTGACTTTTTCAGGAAATGTGCCTTCTTGTTCTTCAGAGTTTGATAGCTATAAGGGATCAATGAATGGTAGCAGTGATGAAGTAAAATAATATCTAAAGAATTCATTATAGATCACATTACTAAGTGGGTTATTAAAGCTCAGTTTCTTCAACCTTTTCATATAAAAATCAATTGAAAAATATTAATTGAAACCCGATTTAAAGTATATATTTTAAATCATACAAATTTTATAAAATTTTTAACCTATAGAATTATATTATTATTATTATTATTATTATTATTATTATTATTTTTAATATTTTAATATAAATTTAAAAATTTTAAACTTTATAATTATATTAAAATTATATAAATAAATAATAATTAAATAAAAAAATTATTTTATAATTTAATTAATAATCTATTAATATATTAAATAAAATTTATATTATTAAAATAAAAACTTTATTTAATTTATTAAAAAAATATTAAATTAAAAAATTACTATTATTATAAAATAATTATTAAATATTTATAGATTTATATTTATATATTTTAATTAAAATTAACATTAATACTAATAGAAATATATTTTTATTTACTATTTATAAATTTAAATATTTAAAATATTAATATTATAAATATATAATTTAAATAACTAAAGATTAAATATATAAATATTTAATATTTTTAAATTAATATAATAAAATATAATAAATATATATTAATTATTTATATATAATTTATATATAATATAATTTTTAAAAATATATTAAATTAAAATATTTATTTATTTAATATTTATAAAATTATAACTATTATATTATAATAAAATTTATAAATATATTAAGATAAAAACTTTAAATATTAAATAATAAATAATTTAATTTTTTTTAAATTTTTAAAATAAAATATAATTTTTATTATTAAATAAAATAAAAAATTATAATATATATTAATTATTATTATATATTATAATTTAATAGTTATATAAAAAATATAAATAATTAAATAAATATTATATTTATATATATATATATATATATTATTCATAATAAGTATATTTTAATATTAATTTTTTTATGTTTATAAATTTTGATTATATAACTATTTTAAATTTTTATAAAAAATCAAAAATTTCTATAAATTTAAATAAAAATGATTTCTATGATTTAATTAAAAATTTAGATTATATTTTATTAGAATGGTTGGTCTTCCATTGGTGGAAGGACTGGCTAGCTAACTAATATACGCGTATATGACGTGCGGTGGGCCGCCCAACATATTTTAATAACTTAGTGACAAAAGTGATGTTGCTGGCAAGTTGAAAGAAGCTAGTTTCATTGCCATTTTCAGCCTCTTACTTGCCAGCCTGTGCCGCCACATTGATTGTTATACGTCCACGTATTAACGCTGAACTTCTGCCAACGCATTTCCTTTTACCTCACCCCTCGCTCACCCACTGGGTGAGTGAGAGGGCCACCATTTTCATCACTTTTTTCATGCCGAGGGACTCAAAATGAATCTCTTCCCTCCCCCCCCCCCCCCCCCCCCCAACGGGGTTCTCTCTTTTTTTGGAGAAGAAAGGGGGGCCCTGCATCCTTTCGAATTTCCCCCCATAATCCGGAAGGAACGGGGGAAAGGTCCAAATGGTTGTGCACCCCCTCTGAAGTTATTTTTGGAAAAAAAAAAAAATTCCCCTTCCCCCCTGAAGTTTTTTTTTTCCAAAATTAAAATTTGGTTTTTTAAGGGGG